TACAAAGAGATAATGGAAGAAGCTCCGTTTAGGGTCTCATTTTCTATGTTGGCTCATCACTTTCTCAAGGTCTTCCTTTGCGATTTCACTAGTGGAAGAGAATAGAAGAAAAATTTCTTGGTTTTGGGAGAGTGCAGCTAGTTCGCGATCTAGGTTTGGGTCTGGTTCATCGCCAAGAGGCGATGCGAGCTAGGTTAGTCTTTGTGCTTGGCAGCTAGGGTTTTAGTTATATTTGATCGTAGCCTCTTGTCTAGCAATGAGGGGTTAAGCGAGGTTAGGTTAAGGTTAATGCTTATCAACGATCTTGTTGGTTTTAAAATTGAGGTAGCGAGTCGAGCTAGATCTCAATTTGGTATGGTTATTTTAGACAGAAACATGATTTGGTTTTCTATTCCTCTTTCGCTGCAACCTTATTTGGTGATCGGCTCTCTCTACACGTTTTGGTGAGCTGTTTTTAGCTTCTTATTTGAGTAGTTTAGCTTGATCGTTAGTTAGTTCGGAAATAATAAGCTTTTTGTTCTCTTTTGAGGTTGTTGTTTTCACTAGTCAGGACTTAATCTATATTCCTCTACTAAAATACTTGATTTAGAATGGGTATAGAGCTTTGGTTTGGCGTTTTACCCCGTAGTAGTTTGGCCCGACACATTTAAACTTTGGTTTTTTGGTTATCCTTGTTGTGGGAATTGAAATATTCTTTTTGTTCTTGCTTTGTCTGATAGTCTATTGAACCAATTTCCTTGAAACCAACTCAACCGAACTTTTTTGATAAAGGCAAAGCATAAAAAGAAAATATCATTGTGATCTCTTTGTGGTTTATTTGAGCTCTGTAATCAATATTACCAATACATTTCCAGTGAAAAGCAAAATAAGCTTACAATGATGTTGGCTTATAAACACTGAGGAGCAAAAAACATTGCGTTTGTGGCAAAAAGCGGACTCGTAAAGACACTAACGTTATCATTTTTACACCATACATGGTCAATTATTTGAAGTCATGATTCTCCTGCTACCACCCGCAACGCTTTGTTTACGGGTGGTAGTGGTTGTTGGCGCTTGACAAGAATCATGGAAAACGTTTTATATCGTTTTGTATCGCTTCTAAGTTCAAACCTCTCAAAATCAAAAGCTGTTTCCCTCGAGCACTTGCGGTTGAGTAATTACAAAATAAAAAAAATTGATTTTCTTTTTAA